GCAGTGAAAGTACTACCTTATAGTTATGGTGGGCTGAGTTTGTTGCAGTAACAAATAACATTCTAATTTTAGAGTCATAACAATGTGGCTTTGTTTCTCACTCATATGCTCGTCATGATCGGTGGTGACTCTGTTTCATGTGTCTTCAGTTGAGGATTCGGATTGATGTGGTCTCCACTATCAAGAACATAATTGGTTACTCTGGCTGGTGGGAACAAACATGGTAAATTACACAGTAGGTCTTAAAGCATCCATACAGAATTGATATTATTAGTTTCTCCTCATAAGTGGCCCGTCTTACTCTAACTTTCATTTCATTGCACAAAGCAAGTCATGCCCTTATATCTAAATTGAATGGGGTACGGAAGTACAGTACCATCTTTGTCCAGAAGGGAGAGAACCAGACATATTTGGTCAACAGAACTAATGACTGCCACAGTTACTTTGTCCTCTTATTTATTTATTTAGTCAGGCAAAATAGAATAAATTTTGATTTTACATAGAAATAGAGATGAGTTTTCATTTCTCCTTTCTTTTCTAACATATAGTAAAATCTACTTGAAATACAGAAGGTAAACTAGCCTTGGTGCTAGAATGGTGCCTCTTTTCCCAGAGGAGAGGTCAGGGGAAACTCACCATGTGCTCCTGGCTGCCATCGGACCATGGAAGAGAACAGAGCCCAGCCACCATCACATTCTCCCAGAAGCTATTTCACCTTAGTTATCTGCCTACTAATGTTACTATCTGAAGAAGCCCTAATCATCTTTCCCTGGCTTCCATTCAGAGAGTTAGAGGAATAGTCTCATCCTGACTCATGTCTCTGTTTCCCTAAATCACTATCAGAAGTCCAAGTATCTCCAGTAATCTATCATCAGAGAGATGTTTATCTCCACTCTGCTCTGCAGTCTCACTCCATCTTCCATTCTGTTCTGTTCTCTGCAGTTTACAGTTTGCATCAGCGAACTCCCTGCCAGGTATTCCTACTACTCCTTCCTAGTGAATTCACTTTTCCTCTTTCTTAGGTCTCTATTTCAGAATCTCTTTCGTTTGCTTCTCCAAGGGCTGCTGTATTTCATAGGAAAAATAGACAAAATCAGATCAGAAACTATCTTATCTTCTCATCACCTAATCCACTCACAACTGCCTGACTCTGCATCTACATATCCTACCTTCCTCTTATTAAGATGGATTGTGTCCTCATACAAATCTAATGTCAACCCCCCAGGTTCCCTGGAACACAATTTATTTTTCTTTCTTAAGAACATTCTTTGTTAATAATCTATTTTCTCCCCTGTGTTGTCATTTTCCCCCTCTACTAGATGGCTCCAGCAAACAAGCATGCTTTTAGAGCATCCACGGAAAAAAAAAATTCCCTTGACCCCATGCTTCCTTCCAGCTCTCACTCCTTTTCCTCTCTCTCTTCCCAGAAAAAACCCTTGAAAGATGTTTTATTACTGTAACAACCTTACCTCTCCTTCTCTACTAAACTTACTTTAATAATGCTTTTGTTTTCTCATGCCACTAACATGATTTTTACCAAGATCAAATGTTAACAACAATAGTAATAGCTAACACTTACTGAAGTGACTGCTACAGGTAGGCAGTGTTCTGAACACTTTATACATGACTCATTTAATCGTCAGTTAACCCTATGAAGATTGTGCCATTAATATCCCTCTTTTAGACATAAAAAAACTCAGCTGCCCATGCCTAATAGATAAAATACCAAGATCAGATAGTTGTTATGAGCAACTTAAATTTGAGTCCAGCTACTTGAACTTTGGAGTACATACTTTTGGCCACTACACTGTATTACTTTTTAAATGGACAATTATTTCTCTTCATTTAATTGAACCTTTCAGCAGCATTTGACATAGCTGACCAATCCCTCCATTTTGAAACCTTTTATTCTTGTATATTCTACTTCTTCATTCATTCACACACAGGTTTCTTTTTTTTCTTTTTACCTCTTGTGCAGCTCCTTATCAGTCTTCTTGCTGTCTCCCCCATTCCAGATCTAGATTTTGGACTGTTTTCTTCTTCTTCTTCTTCTTCTTCTTTTTCTATTGGTAGAAAACTTTTCCATGGTAATCTTGTTTAGTTTGTGGATTTGCATATCATCTGTAGGCTTAGATCACTTAAGACTATCTCTGTAGCCAAAATCTCTCCCCTAAGCTTTATTTTATAAATGTTGTTGCCTGATTTACATCTCTGCATGAGGGTCTTTTAACCTTAACGTGACCCCAACAGAAGTACAGATATAGTAACCTCATCCATCTTCCGCCAATTTCCTCTTTCCTAGGCCTTCTCTATCCATGAGAACCATCAACTTCTAATTGCTCAGTCCAAGTTTAGGGGTAATTCTTGATTCTTCTTTTCCTCATGACCCACATTCTACCCACTGGTAAATCAAATCAACTCTGCACTGAAATACATCCAAGCTGCTACTTCTCCCCATCTCTGCTGTTGTTAATCTAAGTCTCATCCTTGATCACAGAGACTCCTACACCTCTTCATAACTGACCTTCTTCAGCCCAATCTATAAAGAGCAGCATGAGTAAACTTCTAATAGATAAAAGAGGTAACACTATTTCCACCCAAAGATTTCCCATGCAGGAAGAATAAAATCCAGTCTCCTTACCATAGCATACGAGTCCCTACATGATCTACTTATGTTTCTGATGCATTTCCCCCAAACTTTCAATTGCTTAGCGACCCTCCGGCCACCCTGGTCATCTTTGCTGCCCTGGGAACATACCCCCACACTTTCCCCTGTTTCATGGCCTTGTCATTCGCTGCTCTTATATTTGTTCTTCCTTTCTTAGGTCTTCATAGTAGAGGCTTCTTTCTCATTATTCAACTCATCATTTGGATTATCTCCTCAAAGAGAGACCTTTCCTGCAACAGTTCAAAAAATATACATTCCCTTCGTATAAAATTACCCTCAATCACTTTACTGTACTGTATTTTCTTCAAGGAACTAAAATCTAACATTGTCTTAATTATTAACGTGGGTGCTTTTTATTTGTTTTCTCCTCAGAAATATAAGCTCTATGAGGGCAAAAACAGATTGTGTCCCTTATTCATTGCTGTGTTTCCGGTACTCACGACCATGGTTGATGTGTGGCATTCACTCACTTAAAATGTAACCTAAAAAAGAAAAGTAGAGAAAGCAGAATATTAACTTGTGTGATAAGAAACTACCCTATCTTCTCACCACCGAATCCACTCACACCTACCTGACTCTGAATCTACATATCTCACCTTCCTCTGGTTGAAATGGATTGTGTCCTCACACAAATCTAATGCCAACCTCCCAGCATTCAGCAAATTAAAATGAACAGACTCATTCCTTTTTTTTTCATTATACTTTAAGTTCTGGGGTACATGTGCAGATGTGTGCAGGGTTGTTACATAGGTATACACATGCCATGGTGGTTTGCTGCATTCATCCCCACGTCACCTACATTAGGCATTTCTCCTAATGTTATCCCTCCCCAATCCCCCCAGCCCCTGCTGCCCTTCCCTTAGCTCCTCCACCCTCCAGTAGGCCCCAGTATGTGATGTTCCCCCCCCATGTCCATGTGATAAACGGACTCATTCTTAGCTGAGAAGATATTCCCCAAAAAACAAGAGGATAGGGACAGAAGTCTATCTCTTATTTTTTAGCTTTCATAGACATAGATTTGTGTTTTAATCAAACACAGAAAATATCCCAATTTATATCTACAGTAGCAGAAATCGTATCTGTCTCTTGAAGGTTATATTGAGGATTATATGTAAAAGCTGTATGTTACACTTGAGTTTTTTGGTTTCACATAGAAGGATAAGAGGTAGACAATATGTGTGATTTGCTTTCTCTTAGAAAAATCTGAGCAAGCTACTTAGCCTGAGTTATTGCACATTTGGTTTCACTCATCTCAAATGGGAAGATTAATATAAGTGCATAATGTGCTGATCTCATTTGCAATGGGTCTCCATATGTTTATGCCATTAAACAACTTAAGATCTCCTGCTTTTCCATTTTAATTTCTGTTTTTATAACAATGACAATTTTCAAATTACTGAAAGCATAATCTTTTAACAAATGTTTGATTTTAAGCTGTTTTTAATTTTAGCAGGCAAAAGTTGTATTTTATCATTTCCCAGTAGGATTCATATTTTGAAGAAGAAATACTGAAAAAAAATAATAATGAAGATGAATAGAATCTTATCATAATATAGTGAGTGAGGTCCACAATTTTAATTAACCCAATACACTCAGTAGCCTTATTCAAGGTTGACAAAATGAGTAAGGAAGCCTGATGGCCTATTGGACTGGGTTTACGGGCAATTGGCTGCCAGATATGAATTCATCCAAGTTCATGGTTCCATTTGGTGGCAGTTGCCCTCTCAGGCAAAATTGAAAGGAATGACTTTGGGTTCTGGGACTGGCTAGATATTCCAGAAAAATGGTGGCAATTTCAAGAATCGCTGATTTGTTCAACTTCTGGGAAATTGAGCAGAAGAATACTGAGGATATGGGTGCCCACCCTCTGCCTCCCCTTCCTGCTTGGTCCTCATGCTCTCCCTTAGAAGAACATAAGCTTTACCAGCAATCACCTGCTTTGAGAACGGGGCTGGGCTCAGTCCCATTGCAGGGTACCTGGGCCAGAGGTTTATTGTACTTTGATTAACACATTGAACAAAAAGGCATTAAAAAGTCATATGCAAATAAATATGTTTTTGATGGTAGCCCGTATTGCCTGTATATCAGCTCATTCTAATCTAGTCACTAATTATTCCTGCTTTACCAGGCATTTACTGACAGATATGTTCCTACCACATTTAGAAAAGAAATCAAATCTGCATTATGGAGTTAGCATCATTATATTTCTCATTTCATGCATGGCGGACCCCTTATAGAGCTACATTTAGTGTACTGCTAATTAAAAAGAAGGGTAGGGGCAGTGTCCAAAGCTTTCTCAATGTTCTCTTATCTTTTGTTTTTGTTTGTGCAGCTCACCATGTTAAAACGGGAACTTGTGAGGTGGTGGCACTCCACAGATGCTGTAACAAGAACAAGATAGAAGAGCGGTCACAAACAGTCAAGTGCTCCTGCTTCCCCGGGCAGGTGGCAGGCACCACACGAGCTGCTCCATCATGTGTGGATGGTGGGACTCCTTCCATTGCTTAGTGTGACGGCACAGCCAAGGATGGCTTAGAACTGGAACCCCACTATATTGCTCTCAATGGGGGTCATTCCTGGGTGAATGTACTATCAATAGTATAATAAGTTGAAACTGGAATATTTGGGTGGCATTTTGAAATCTAAAATCCTTTGGAAGGAGGTCTAAAATATTATGCAGTTCTGTGACAAACGGCAGTATAATGAGGTTCCATTAAATTAATGTGCTTCTTATTTTGTTACCATGAAATGTTGATTTCCTGGTGGATGGTGGGAGGTGGAGTATGTGTAAATTAATTGGAAAAGGAAAGATGAAAATGGATGATTTAATATTATGGATTCTTAAACTCATGGATGTTCTTACTGGTCAACATGGTGAAACCCCGTCTCTACTAAAAATACAAAAAATTAGCTGGGCATGGTGGTACATGCCTGTAGTCCCAGCTACTCAGGAGGCTGAGGCAGGAGAATTGCCTGAACCCAGGAGACGGAGGTTGCGGTGAGCCGAGATCGCGCCATTGCACTCCAGCC